ATCATCACTCTTATCATAACTTGTTTCATATTAGTTTTACATTTATTTTTTTAAACAAAGAAGTCAACAAATAAAACTTAGTTTCGTTGACGTTGTTGAAGGATGATGCGGGAGGATTGTTTATTCCGGACGTTTTTAAACAACAATACAATTTCAAGTAAATAAGAATTCATTAGGACTGTTCAAGCAGACCTCTTCATGTTTAAGTCGCATATTACCCCATATCATTGTCTGTTTATCAGTTTCTCTCTCTTCATTTTCCTCCCACCTCTTTCTCCCGCACACCTTTTTTTTCTTGATTACCCATTACACTGTCTTTTATCCTCCAATCTCTCTCGATCTCTCGTCCTACATCTTCAACCTCATCTCTCTCTCTCTCTCTACCTCTTGTTTCTCTCTCTACCTCTTTCCCAACCCCTACACCCACCATTTCTCCCTCCCTCTCTCCTCCCCCTCTTTCCCGTAATCTCTTCTCCCTCTCTCCACACGCCATATTTCAGATCCTACTCAGTCACAATTTCACCATAAAACCCGACGTGCCTCCTTCCTTATTGAAGTACCTTGTTATGTGTATGTATCTTATGTGTCTTTAAGTACCTTGTTTTGTGTATGTGTCTTATGTGTCTTTAAGTACCTTGTTTTGTGTATGTGTCTTATGTGTCTTTAAGTACCTTGTTATGTGTATGTGTCTTATGTGTCTTTAAGTACCTTGCTATGTATATGCGTTTAAATACCTTGTTATGTATGTGTTGAAGTACCTTATGTGTTTAAATACGTTGTATATATGCATGTATTTAATGACTTTATGTATGTGTTTAAATACCTTGTTATGTATGTGTTCTAGCACCTTGTTATGTATATGTTTAAATTCTTTGTTATCAATATGAACCTTGCCATTTATATGTGGTGAAGTACCGTGTATGTACGTGTATTTAAGTTTCTTGTTTAATTACTTGTATATGTGTTAAAGCAGCTTGTTACGCATGTGTTTAATCACCTTGCCAGGTGCTATAGTCCCTTGTTCCTCCCTTCAGGAAATCAAGCTCGAAAGCGCCTCCGTGATGCCTCTCGCCTTCTACGACCTCAAGCACCTGAAGAACCTCTACGTGTACGGCCTGGTGGCGGATCCTCTTCTCCTCGCTGGCTCCTTCCACTTCAGCTCCCCGGCGCTCTCCCAAGTCTTCCTCGCCAGTGGACACGGTTTCACGGGCGAGGCGGAAGCGGGGACTTATGACGGTGGGTTTGCTTCACACACACACAGATACACACACGCACACACACATACACTTAAACACACACAAACAGAAGCACACACATACACACATAAGAAAAAAAAAGAAGAGGAAAGAAAGAAACAAAGAAATCTGGAAAAAAAGAACGATAATAAGAACACATGAAATAGGGTTGAAAAGCGAAAAGAATCAAGCAACAAAAAAAAAAAAAAAAAAAGGTAAAAGGAACATATGAAAACAGGTTGAAAAAAGGATTGAATGGCGTAATAATCAGGTTTTCTTTTCTCGCCAGGTTTTCCCAGCGGCTCTCGGCTCTGGATCCAAAAGACGCTGAAATTCTCCGCAGACTTGTTCTACAACTTGCTGAGTCGCGGCGTATCTGTTGAGTCACCCGGTGAGTCTTCGCATTCGATAGGATGGAGAGAAGGGCATGAGTGAGAGAGAGAGAGAGAGAGAGAGAGAGAGAGAGAGAGAGAGAGAGAGAGAGAGAGAGAGAGAGAGAGAGAGAGAGAAAGCTTATATATCTGTGTATATATACTACATGCGAACACAGACCCATATGAACCCCTTCTCCCCACACACACATGGATATACCGATTAAAATGTCAGGAAGGGTGTAATACTACTATCTAAATTACCATAAGGCGAGGTCACACAGGTCGCTTATCACCCATAAATCAGATAACGTGCGGACATCATATCGCGGATTTCAACGCATATAGGCTTTGTGGACGCTCTGTAACTGAGCACTGTGCACGCAGTTTCCCGTGTAACCGCGTCTTTACGAAGGAAGGGGAAAGACACAACTTATAGGGAGAGAGAGAGAGAGAGAGAGAGAGAGAGAGAGAGAGAGAGAGAGAGAGAGAGAGAGAGAGAGAGAGAGAGAGAGAGAGAGAGAGAGAGAGAGAGAGAGAGAAACACACACAACACAGCCACATCATACTCACAGATAATTATCCCATACGTTTCACCACATTAATGATCAATCCCCCCCTCCCCCACTCCCCCTCCCTCTTCCTCAGAGCCTGTGAAATGCGATTGCCACGTTGCCTGGATTCGCCTGTCAACTTTCCTGCCACAGGCGAAGGTGAGGTGCCAATCCAACATGTGGCCAATTGATCTATCAGACATCGACGGGGCCAGCTTCATGGATTGTGGGAGCATCTGCAGTGCTTGAGTGGCACTTGAGGCGAACATTTTTTGGGGCTATTTAAATATTGGATTTTCACATGAAAGTTTCTGTTTAATATTATTTTATTATCCTTGTT